CCACTCGGAGCCCTGCTACAGACATCATACACAGATGTACTGATTGGTCATGACGCCATTGCTGTCATCAATGTAGTACACTGTAAAAGTTTCAATTTGGGTTATAGTTTTGCTTACGAGGACGTCATCAAAGCATTTGATGACGTGGCTGTCACGCATGCAATAAAAATAGGAGCGTTGATGAAAATTTCATCTCTTACAACAATGCTGTCATTTTCAAGTTATGACAATGTCTGCCCCGGGTCTGTCCCAAAGTGTAAACTTGTTTTTTACAAAGAAGCGGCCGATGTCTGTCAGTAGAGAGCAAAACAAACGCTGACACATCTTGCAAGCGCTACATCTAGGACCCATGTGCAGAGTTCCCAACAAGAGGAAATCACTATGAATTTCGGTGTAACAAATCCAATAAATTTCAGTCGAATTTCTATTAATTTTATTCAAATTTCGATTTATTTCAATGAATTTTAGTGAATTTTACATGTTTGATGAATTTTGGTGTACAAATTCGGCTGGAGTTCCCTTGGTTCCCAATGATTGGCCTGGCATCCTCAGCGACTGCTCGTCACATTCATCCCTCAGTGACCCACATTGAGAAAAGCACACATATCTTGCCCAACTTACTCCTAATGGTGACAGCATAATGCTTCCCACTTAGAAACAGCAATGCGGGCAATACATTGTAGCGACGGAGCGCTGACGCAAGGGCGGTGCCTATTCAACTGTTGCGTGGAGCGTCTGGGCTTCCGGCTCAATACATTCATTCCGTGGAGTGTTTGCGAGCGATCGACCTGGTGTGGCGGTCTAGGGTACACTGCACTGTCTTAACTTTTGCGAAACTTTTACCACAAATTTTCGCGCGATAAAACCGAATTTGCGATTCCCGCGATTTGTCGCACCCTGGCGTGCGAGTTATTCAGTTATTCGCATTACGTTAGTATAACCATGATTCGTAACCATGAGCTAGGGTTTCCCGCCAAAAATTTTTAAAATTAAAATTTGTCGCAATGCTCTGCGCTTTGCATCAAGTTAAAGATAAAGCTCCAAACTCTATTTTAAGTTGCTATTTTGATGTTAACCTACATGGTTTTGACCAATTCAACTATAAAAACGGCCAAAGTCGCGTTTGGACCCAAAAGAGGGCATTTCTTGGACATTCTTTGTTGTATAGTTCTCATCTAAGGACAGGGGCCCCCGTTTTTCTGGAAGGATTATGATTCTGTGTTGTGTTTTGTGTTTTTATCTAACTAAAGTTTTTCTTTGCCTTCTTATTACTCCTTATGTGCCATACACTTTAGCATGTATTTTGGACCCATTCCCCATAAGACCCATGTTAAAACTCCCAACTTTGACTGCATTTATCTCAGAAACGAGTTCAGAAAGGAGCATTTTGTTTGGTAACACTGACTTCAGCGCATGATTTTCTATCGAAATGGATCAAAAGGGGAACTTTTTAAACACTTTTTTGTAACTGATGTACTACTTTAAAGAGCGGTCAGTAGATTTTATCACAATTTTTCCATAGTTTCAAAATTTTTTATTGTTTCCAATTTTTTTTGGTCTAATAGTGGACTACACTTGCCTTACCATACATACCTTAACTGCGTCAAAGCACAGGCGGGGCGTCAAGTCACGGCGAGAGTGGCAGCAAGAGTGAAATGGGTTGATCATCTCCGTCCCATCCCACTGAAATAAATTTTTACATCTAACGTCATTGACTTAGATATTCTGCTCGTAAACTTAATTGCCGTCAATGTCAAGTGTGAAACTATGTAACAAATTCCGATAATTGGCAAGTGAATTTAAGTAAAACCATCTGGTTTAAGCAAATATTGTGGTTCTATCTGTTTTATTTACTGCGTTCTTGGTAGTCTTGCGGAAGGTGGCTAAATCTCTTCTGGGACTACTCAGAGATGGTGGTTTTTTACACTGCTATTTGCGCGGCGAACACAAACGTTTTCTCTCGGAATAAGATAGTTGGAGCCTTTCTCTGTAAAATCCGTGCATCGGATTGGAAAAAGTCAATGTTAAATTCAAATCCCACAAGAAAAGCTAAAAAAACACCTTAAAAAAGGGAAACAGCCATAAATTCTTTTCCGGTTTGTTCCATTTACAAGCAGTAACCGGATTCGTGTGGCGCGCCTGATGTTACACAACTCCTCTTCTTTTGGGCATAATCGAGAGCAGAAAAGCGATTTTTCAATTTTGGTCAAATTGCGTAAAAGTTGTAAGAGAAACCAAAATAGCTCATATAATCTTAACCGTGCATTTTTCGCTGCAAAAAATTAAGGCCTTTCTGCACTGCAAGAAAAAGTGTGGAAAGTACAACAAAAACTGTACATGAAAAATATTGTCGAAAGATTGTAGAAAGCACAACGAGAATTGTACAAACCACAACGAGGCCTGGACTGCACAGCACTCATCATATCATGCTGATATACCTTGAAAGTAAAACAAATTCCTAATAAAAAATTTGCCAGTATTTTATGTATGTTTGTTGTGGTTTTTTTCTTGCAGTGGGAGACCCTTAAGGACTACCTTTCACCTTAGAAAATGGAGAAAATCATCATCAAATGAGTTCAAAGATCAAACTTTTTTTTTTTTTTTTTTTTTTAAAGTCCCGAAGATCTTACGGAGATTATTGACAAAAGGGCTACGGAGAATCATCACAAGTTTACAGAATTTTTCATTGCTTTTAGCCGGAGTTTCGGGAGCGGTTGTAGCCTCGGGGTTGGCAACCTTCTCCTCAATGCCTTTCCTTGTGGTGACTTGGCTCTTTATTCTCTCATGACAATCGTGAGCCCGTCGCGGTGATGTTCTATTTTTTACGACGCACTCTGGTCTGGGTCTCATATCTTCCCTGAACTTCTTACTGATAAAGCTAGTTATAGCGAAACGATATCAGTGAAAAAAGGCGATTTCCTTAATAATAATTCTGATTTTTTTGGTTGGACTTCCGTTAAAAATGGCAATAAATTTAATGTCCGTCACTTAATTTACAGCAAAGATTCTTCGAAGAAAGCGAGGTTTAAGCGTGAGAAAGAGTCACTGCAGTGTGACTGGAGCAAACTTACAGAACGATGTCGGTTCGAGAACAGGAACCCACACAGTTTTGTTAGGCCATCTTTCGCCATCTTATCGCTACTCCGCGAGCTCGTGAGTCTTTCCTGTTGGGTAACGGTGACAGGCAGTGGCGTATAAAAACCCGAGAGCAGCTGGCCGGGTGCGCACTCTTTCCAGGAACGTAGCATCACGCTGAAACGAATGCGACAAAGAGTCACGTCCCTATGACACTGTAAGAAGTTATGTTCGGAATAAACAACGGATCCTTCGGCAAAAAAAATTGCAAACGGTTCCTTCGTTAATTTACGAAGCTCCTTCGTAAGTTTTTCGGAGGACCTCTAAGCACAATGGAAATTGCACCTTCGTAAATCTACAAAGATCCGTCGTTAATGTACATAAAACCTTCGTAATTAATTGGTTTGGATTGGAATTGACGACGGATCCTTCGGCAAGTTCCTTCGTTTATGTACAAACGCCCGCCGAAGAGGCCCTTCGTAAATTTACAAAGCCCTTCGTAAATTTACTACAAGTATCATAGATTTACTATTTTCCTTCGTAAATTTAGGACAAACTTGATTGATTTACAAAAAGTCCTGTAGAAAAGTAATATTTACAGTGCATCTTTGGACATTCCCGACGACCTTCGTAAAAAGTTCCGTCGTAAATTCACAACGTATTGTTTGCAGTAGAGCATAGTCACATTCGTCACATTCAAACGAATGTGACACAATTCTCGCTCAAAGGAACGTGGCATTCTGTCACATTATCGTGTGAATGTGATGTTACGCTAGAATAAGTGTGATGCCCTGTGAAAATTATGGTTGTCACTTGATGAAAATTTCACAGGTAACTTTTCTGACACGGTTCTCATCAAAACATGTACTAATAAAGCGCCCATGCAATGGGTATAGGAGCTTCAATGAAAATGTCATCACTTTCTGATGACATTGCCATCATTTACAAGTGACGAGAATGTCGTTAAAAGTCTTCAGGTTTTGACAGTATTGCCCTTCTTCCTAGTGCCTCTTCTTGCCGCAACTCTTTCTCCGGCATGTGGGTGCTGGCTGGCCTGCTGGTCGCCCCGCACAGTTGAAAGGGAGTTGCATTGGAGAGGCGGTCCTAGTTCTTGCGCTGTTCGAAAATCGGGCTTCAGTAGTATCGAACCCATGTTGAGATCTATTTTTCGGCCGGGGAGGTCAATTTTTGACCGCTTCGCCAGCTTTTGCCTTTGCCTCAGAACAGCGCCTGGATTGAATTTTTAATCTGGCCAAAGAGACGTTACCTTACATTCGTCTCAACATGTCGACATGTCATGGGTTCAGATGGAAAAAGAAACACGTATTCAACTTCTAATGTCTTTTTGATTTTTTAAACATTCTTTAAATCTAATAACTCTAAAAAAATAAATTACTCTAAAATAAATCTAAATCTGAAGGGTGATTCCTAATTGGTCACGTTTGAAAATTCACTGAACTCAGCAAAGTTCGAACCCTACAAAGCCGAAAATCGAACCCTCTGCCGAAATATCGAACCCTAGATTTGTCTGCCACCGAGTCAAATTTTCGAAACGAGATGGGTTCGATTCCACCATGTGCCGGTTTTCTTGCCAAGGTAGATTCGAAAATCGAACCCTCTCCTAACTGGGGGGCCGGAGCTGCTCAGTCTAAGTCTAAATTACACAGTCAGGTTTTTTTGGTATGTATAGCTTTGCGCGAAAATTTGTGATGTTGCACAATGAATTTGTGTACTTCACGCACACGCTCAATTTCGTGCAAACAAATTACACACAAAAGGTAAAAAATAGTAATTTACCGAGTGGCATCTGAGAAACAGTAACGTGCGTCTGCGCACACGGATGTTTCTTTACGGTCTGGTCACGAGTCACGACTATTTGGCCTTATAAGGGCGGCACTGGGGACGGAGAGCATCATCGACCCACCATGGCTCGACTCAGCTTCGTCGTCCTCGCCCTCTGCGCCGTCGTCGCGGTAAGTCCGGCTGCCGCCGAAAAGGCCGTCTACTCTACAAACTCAACAGTGTACTCAGAACACTCTCTTTAGCGTGTACTGACGAGTACACTTTCTTCGGCATGTGCTCACGAGCTGAATATATTTCCAGGATCTGAGCACACTCTGGTTAGAGGAGTGTACTCATCCAAGCTCATTCTCATTAGAGTGTACTCATCTAAGCTCATTCTCATTAGAGTGTACTCATCTAAGCTCACTCTCGTTCCTGTGTACTCATCTGAGTACACTCTCGTTGGATTGTACTTGAGAGTATACGCTGAACTGAGTGTGCTGAGCACACTGTTGAGTTTGCAGAGTAGTTGGATTACTGAGCAGCCATTGTGGTGCCAAACTCATGTGAATCTCTATCGCAGGCCGCCGCCGCACACCCGCCGCCGCCGCCTTCAAATCGTGGCCCCCAGGGCGGCCCTCAGGGTCACCCCCAGGGTGGCCGGCCTCAGGGTCTCCCTCATGGCGGCCGGCCTCAGGGTCTCCCTCATGGCGGCCGGCCTCAGGGTCTCCCTCATAGCGGCCGGCCTCAGGGTCTCCCTCATGGCGGTCGGCCTCAGGGTCTCCCTCATGGCGGTGGGCCTCAAGGTCTTCCTCATGGCGGCCTTCCTCTGGGTCTCCCTCATGGCGGCCGGCCTCAGGGTCTCCCTCATGGCGGCCGGCCTCAGGGTCTCCCTCATGGCGGCCTTTCTCAGGGTCTCCCTCATGGCGGCCGGCCTCAGGGTCACCCCCAGGGTGGCCGGCCTCAGGGTCAACCCCTGGGCGGCCAGCCTCAAGGTCGCCCCCGGCGTGAAGCTAACGCCGCTCCTGCCCCGAAGCCCGTTGGCATCAAGGGGTGGCTCAAGGCCAAGGAGGCAGAACTCAAGAACTGGGCCGTCAAGGAGGCCGGCCAGCTCAAGAAGGAGTGGAAGACCAAGCTGGTGCCCCACATCGCCGCTCTCAAGAAAAAGCTCGGCGCCGATTGGCAGAAGAACGCCCCCAAGATCGTCTCGCTGCTCAAGGCGAAAGCTGGCGCCGCCTTCGACAAGGCCGTCAACTTCATCAATAAGAAACTTACGGCTTGAGTGAGGTTGAGGTTTCAAGCGCGCAACGCACAGCTAGGGTGCCAATAAGGCTGCAATAAAAATGCCTTGCCTGTGCATGTTTCTCAGCTGTTTTTCCCCCTTGTCGCGTCCTGTGCACTAGGTGCTCGCAAAAAGCCGCCGCACAATGGGCCAAAACACCGGTGAAGGCCACCATTGATAACTAAAGAGGGTTTTTTTGTGACGACAAATGAAAATATTTGGCTGGGCTTAAGTGGTGCTCGCACGGCACAAAGGGTAAGCTGCCTTAAAAAAATTAATATTTCACCCACAATGAGTGAATTTTAATGCAAAAAAAGGGGCACTACGGCGCAGAAAGGGCTTTCAACGGACTAGCAATTCATTGTAAAGACATCAAAGTCAGTGGATTATTACTTTATTGTTAACCCCGCGTCAGGCGGGCAGTGCTGGTGGCGACAGAGCGTCAGGGTGACTCTGGCGTCGGCCAGGGCGCCGTCAGCGCTCAGTAGTAGTACGCGGAGCGCACGTACGGGGCGGCGGGGGCGTAGGCGGCCACGGGGGCGGTGTAGGCCACGGAGGGAGAGTAGGCGTAGGTGGAGTAGGCGGGTGCGTAGGCAGCGCCGGAGTACAGGACCTGGGGCTGGGGCTTGGGCTCGGCCTGGGCCACGGCGGCCAACACCACGAGGAGGAAGACGACCTGCAAGAGCGGCAACGACAACAGTTAGCGAACAGGTGAGTGACGGGGCGGCCGAACACGAAGTGGCAGTGGCGGTGCTTACGGAGGAGTTCATGGTGGCGGTGAGGTTGAGCTGCTGGACTCTAGTGTGACTCCCAGCCGCCCGGCAACCGTTTTATACTCGCCTGCATGCTTCCTCTGACCGTGACGCATTGATCAGAGTTCATATTTCGAGCCTCTGATCGGAAGCTATTAAAGACTCAACCCAAAGTGGCTGTGTATTTTAAACCTTCGATTTGACTCGTGCGTCGGTTGGTTTCCGTTTTGGAGTCTCCCTATCAGAATGACGCAGCCTCCCCCGACTGGCCACGCCGCGAACCGGCGAGTATAAAACGGGTGCCGGGCGGCTGGGCTGGGAGTCACACTTGAGTCCAGCAGCTCAACCTCACCGCCACCATGAACTCCTCCGTAAGCACCACTACTGCCACTTCGTGTTCGGCCGCCCCGTCACTCACGTGTTCGCTAACTGTTGCCGTTGCCGCTCTTGCAGGTCGTCTTCCTCCTCGTGGTGTTGGCCGCCGTGGCCCAGGCCGAGCCCAAGCCCCAGCCCCAGGTCCTGTACTCCGGCGCTGCCTACGCCCCCGCCTACTCCACCTACGCCTACTCTCCCTCCGTGGCCTACACCGCCCCCGTGGCCGCCTACGCCCCCGCCGCCCCGTACGTGCGCTCCGCGTACTACTACTGAGCGCTGACGGCGCCCTGGCCGACGCCAGAGTCACCCTGACGCTCTGTCGTCACCAGCACGACCAGCACTGCCCGCCTGACGCGGCGTGAACAATAAAATGCTGATCCACTGACTTTTGGTTGTCTTTTCAAAGAACACGCCTGCGCGCTGCATGACCCAGCGTGCACTGAGAATGAAAGAGTCATGATCATGACTAAAATTTTGGGTGAGGAATTCTTTATTACCCAAAATTGGGTGAGGAAATTTTCCTCGCCCAAATTTGGGTGACGAAAGTTTCCTCACTCAAATTTGGGTCATGATACTACGGAGCTAGATAGGGAGCTGATACACCCAAATTGGGCGAGGAAACATTCCTCGCCCAAATTTGGGTGAGAAAGTAAACCTCGCCCAAAATTGGGTATTGATCATGACTTTCTCATTCTCAGTGTGGCAGCCAGCCTGTGGCGTGCACGTCTGGCGGCCGGGCGGCCTGCTTTACGGCAGCAACTGCCCCAAGCGCACTGAGACCCGCAGGTGCTTGGGGCAGCTGCTATCTTAGAAGCGAGTCACTGAGTCACTTGGACCACCGGACCACTCTTAAAACCTTGCGAACCGATGTGTTTGTAAGCTTGCGAAGAACCTTACCTGTTCGCAATGCAAAGAACGCATCCGTATTGCAAATCAGTATTTCGCAACTTGCGAACAACTGCTTCGAATTCGCGAACAACCTGTTTGTATTGCGAGCCCTTTGCAAACACATTGTTCGCAAAATTGCGGACTGTCAGTTTGTAATACAATCAAGCCAAACTCTTCGCAAGCTGCAAATCAAATGGTTTGTAATGCGAACACATTCTTCGCAAGGTTGAGAGTGTGGGTAACATGGACCACCCCAAAAATTCTTGTCTATGATTGCTCATGCCTCCTAACGGTGACCGCGAAAACGTGAGCATAACAAGAATTTAGGCACTACACAGCAAGAAATCATAGACCTCAACTCTTGTAATGCTAACCTTCACCTCGAAATGGTTCCAGAGAGTTAAGACAGACACTAAGACAACATTTTAATGCACGGGAGCAATAAGGGTGTCATACAGTCAATTTTTGAGGATCCACTAAGATAACTTTAAGAGTTTTGTGACAATATCTCTGGTGTTTAGGGATTGCCGTCCCCAATATTTTGCTGGCAGTTAAAGTACCCTCCCCCCCTAGGGCCCTTTGATACCAATGTGGTCGAAAAGTAAGATGGCCTATTTAGGGAATTCAAAAAACCGTTATTTTAGCCAAAAACGCTCTTTTCGGCTAAGGTTGAGGGTCTCAAACTTGTTTCTCACTTTATTATGTTGCCATTCACTGTTTTCAACCCATTTAAGCGCCTAAAGACCCAATTTTTGATAAACAAAGAAAAGTTGTGAAATTTTATTAGAAATGTCAAAAGTCGCCACGGCCACAGTTTTGAATATTTTTCCAAAAAAATTGATATGAGTGGTCCTTAAGTGGTAGGCTATGATATTAAAAAAATGGGAGCCAGACCTAAGCGAGTGCGTTTTGGACCATGATGGTTAGGCGTGGAATGCCCCCGATATCAAGCCACAATGCAGGCGGGTGATTCCGTGCGTAGGGGGTCATTTTGGATGTACCAAATGTTCTTTTTTAAAGTTCAACTTTAGGGGCTAAATTTGGTGTAGATGGCATACATAGTACCCCACAGTACCCCTCTGAGCGTGGCAGCGCTACAAGTTGACTTTTATTTTCACTCCCTATGAAATACGGCGGAATTTACAGAAATAATGACGGAATTTACAGATTACGGAATTTACAAAGCGAAGTTTTTAGTCTCCTGAACCGCTGGGTTACAAGATAGGTAAAAACTGTTGACGGTGTCATTTTCAGCATCCAAAATAGCATTTTTCAGCGAAGGTTGTGGTAACTTTCTCCCTCAGATGGAGGAGCTACGGCCCGAAACGGAATTTACATCCATTTTTACACCCTTACCGTTTTGAACTCTTCTGACGGCCTGGAAGCGTCGTTTGACCGCCCCAGGTCCCGTGGGCACGGGCTTCTGGAAGTGTTTTTTATGTTCTTTCGATCCCAAGTGGTCGCGAGTTTCTAAAATGAAAAGGAACCCCAGTAGACCGTCATTTGTAAAAACAGCATAGGTCACATAGTCACACGGTGGACATTTTCCCAAAGGCTGTTTCGGGTTCAACAAGTGATGATACAAAGGTCGCCCTCCGTAATTTTGTGAAGAATAAGTCAGGGGAGAGAGTGAAATAGCCAGTTTTCTTTTGATGTGGCTGAGTCATATACTACAGCATGGCAATGTTGTCTTATAGGTGTTGGTGACCATGACGGAACTTACAAAACGACACTTTAGCAGCTTACGAAACCCAGATAAACAAAAGTAAGATCGACTTATCCACATGAGGACATGGTCTTCGTTTAGTAAAACCAATTTGAATTGCCCAAGCTACCAAATCAACCTCAGTTCAGGCGCAAGGCCCCGGTGACCTGAAATGACCCCCTACGCACGGAATCACCCAGGCGGCAATGGAAACTAAGTGTTCATCGCAAAGACACGCTTTGCCGGGGCGGGATGTTCATCGTAAAGACAACCAGACTCAGTGGATCACCATTTTATTGTTCACACCGGTTCTGGTGGGCATAGTTTATCGTGGCGGCAATGAAGCACTAAGAAGTACCATGAAGCACAATGCTGATCCACTGACTCTGGTTTCGATATAATAATTACCCTGTCCCTCGAAAGCTTTTTTTGCTATAGTTATTTAATTTCGATTTTCGTTTATCGCGGCGTCCTGCCTTGGAGGTGTCATCGACTAGTAGCGGCTGCCAAGCGCCTGCCGGACGCCGCATAGGCAGCAAGACAGTGCTATGCGGGCGTGGTGGGCGGGTGGCCTACTTTGCGCCCCTCGCACCGCCATAATCTTCTTGTCACGCCAGCCAGGCAACCGCTGCCTGGCCAGCCGGAGACTAGGTACTCTCAGCTCGAGAGTACAAGCATGCTGACACATAACTACACCATCTGCTAAAAACCACTTCCACTTGGACCAAGATTAATATTTCACCCACAATGAGTGAATTTTAATGCAAAAAAAGGGGCACTACGGCGCAGAAAGGGCTTTCAACGGACTAGCAATTCATTGTAAAGACATCAAAGTCAGTGGATTATTACTTTATTGGCGAGCGATAGCGAGCCCTTGCCGTGTTTGGGCGCTCCAAAAAGTGACTGGTCGTGCGTCTGTCCCTCTGTGAGTCTGTAGCGTACACGCTCACGTTTCTCAGCAACTACAACACTAATAGTTCCCAAATTTTGCACTGAACATCTCCTAAAGCTCCCACAGGGGGAGTTTATCTTATATTCACGATTACTACCGTTTGAAATATTCAAAACATCTTTTTGAATTAGGTTTTTAGCGTGGTTAGGTTGGCAGCACAATTTTTCATACTTGCGGCCGCGGCTCTCAAATACGGGCTGGCGGCTGGCAAAACATTGGCAAGTAAAACAAAATAGAGAGCAGAAGGGCTTAGAAGTGAGTTCGGTCACAGTTTTTCGATATTCTAGAATTATTGAAACCCCTCCGGAGTGTCAACACAGTGAAATACGGAAAATGAAAGTGACAATTATTGGCGAGCGATAGCGAGCCCTTGCCGTGTTTGGGCGCTCCGAAAAGTGACTGG